TCAATTGATTGTTACAGTACCAGATGTCTTTTTTTGCGTATAAAAGAAAACGTATAAAATAAAGGCCGTGCAGTCATACAGTCATGCACTGCTGATCCTTTATCGCAAACGACTGCTCTCTATTCTGCACTCCTACGACCTACAGTCCACTTCTCTGGGCAGGGATAATGGGGGGCATATCTAGCGGAGGGCGAGAATGCTAGCCATAGCGGCGTTAGTCATAATTGGAGGCATAGCAGCTGGGCGAGATTCGAGAATGTTAGGCATAGTGGCCGGAGTCTTTTTTTTGTTTGTTTTTTAAAACAAAAGAGGAGTTCACTGTAAATGCTAAATAAATATAGTCGAGATCTCGAGATCTCGACTGCTGAGTGAAATATCGATATTTTTACCGAGTAATTGAGAAGGCTGAAGGGCGTGACTATATTGTATAGATATATTCGCTGTCGGCAGTTTTTGTTATTTTCTTTTTTATAGAGAATCTATGTATTTTTAATTTGAAGTTCAATCTGCAAATCCATACATATGAGTCTATGGTATGTAACTCTTTATTTACTATGTATGTGTCTTCTAAATATTTATCAGGAGCGAGCCGTAAACTTCTTGAAATTCAAAATAAAATAAAATTCAAAGATTGTCCAATAAAAATCAGACAAAAACTTTATATGAACTCAAAAAATTCGAACAGAATCTATGATTCAAGATGGCAGATATCATTGCTCGATCTCAGTTAATACTTGTACAGACACCATACAAAAACTGATTACCCATTTCATCGCAATAACGTAGTGCGAACGGATGTTTACAACTTATATGGATATGATCAATTTAGTAGGCTTATGCGTTGGAATATATTTATAGTGATTTTGTTCACACAGTTATAAAGCTTGACAGAATTGATATTACTACATGTCTCGGAATTAAGGAAAGTATTTACTGATACTTCCGTTACAAAACCAAATATTGATCGAAGTCAGTATGTTCTTAATAAAAAGAGTAATACTGTTAGACTCCTATTTGTATTACATTGCGAGCAAGTATTGCCTTACACAGTGTTGCAGGATATATACAAGCGCTCTACTAAACAAAATTGGAAGTTTGGTGAGGTAATCCAATGCGTTCTCACAAATGTGCAACCGCTGGTAGATTTGCCACACCCTGATACCAACTAGCAACACTATGAATCACGACGACTTTTATAATCTGTGCCACATGTATGTCTCATCGTTTAGTGTAGTACGTATCCAAATTGACAGCTCAGAGATCAAAATTGTCACAACTGTGTGTAGAAAGTACGCAATATTCGATAAAATCTCGCAAATCGACTGAATATACCCAGAAGTACCTATTAATGAAAGTTCAGTTCACTCTTGTGGACTCAATTGTTTATAGTCGTGCAAAGTTGCGAAACTCGCGCAACTCGCGAAAAGTCGTGAAAAGTTGCGAAAATCGTGACTTCAGCGAGGATTACAGAATCCTTATGCATTAGGAGAATAATTCCCACCGTGTGAAGTATTATATTTGAGAGCTCTTTGGACATGCAGTGGGAAATTTCGAAATTTCAACTCTATCGTCAGTTATTTGGTTGTGAAAACTGGAATTTTGCGGTATTTCGCTATAAATCGCGAAACTTCAGTGCCAAACAGCTGCTGATAGAGTTAGAATTTCGAAATTCTCCACTGTAGGTCCATAGAGCACCCCAATATGGTACTCTACATGGTGGGGATTTTCCTAACCTGCAGATGGTCTCTTTATTCTTCCGTTGCAGTTCGCGATAATTTGCAAATTTTAACGATTTTCACGACTTTCGCGACTTTCGCTACTTTTGCGAGTTTTGACGAGTATACTCGAGTCGCCACTACTACACTCGAGTCAACAAGACACACTGGACTATTTTTCATTAGTAGATACTTCTGGGTATATTTAGTCGGTTATCGAGGTTTACTTGAATTTTGCCCTTTTTTTCTCAGAAACTTGTGATAGTTATATGATCTATGAGATGTCAAATTGTATTTTTGTGTCATATGAACGGTGAGCTATTCATAAGGCATTCATTTTACAAATTGTTAAAGTGATTTTCAAGTACCAGTTAATATCATTAAAGATCCCGAACCAGTAGCATGGTAAGTTATAAGCATACATCGAACCAATATAGGTGATTAGCATTCATTCCCACTACGCTATTACGATGAACTTGTAAGATGAAGTGGTATTAGCAGCGGTCGCAAAAGGTATCTATCACATCACCTTCATATATGCCATC